TTGCTATATTTTTCTATTATTTTAAACTCTAATGTATTATATTGGAACATAAAAGAGCAGGTACAACTTGAAAACTTTAGGAAAGGAGAAGTCTCATTGTAAACAGAGGATTTGGCACCTTAAGTTGACTCCGAAAGTTTAAAGGAATCCAGACCCTATTATTCTTCCATACCCTAATAAAACATAATTACTTGAGAAAGGAAGTTTCTAGCATTAGGAATCTAGAAAGTTTGGGGATAGGTTCACGAATCAAAATGATGAAGTTTTGATGGACTCATGTTCAAATAAGGGATGGAGACTCCATCCAAGGCAAGTTGTTGTCTCTTATTCAAGAGTTGTATATAAGCTTCTCCATAGTTCTCTTTAGCTAGGAAGTTGGAGGGGGTTTCCAAGTTCTAGGTCTTATTCAATAGCTGTAAATAGGCTTCTCCATATGTCACTTTAGCTAGGAAGTTGGAGGAGGTTTCCAAGCTCTGGGTGGATGTGGGATGGGAAAAAGGTCTAAGGATGCTCCATCACACTTTCAAGGAAGCCAAATATATTATAGTATTTCTCCTAACAGGTGAGGTGTCATTAAATATTTTTGCAAACTCTCTTGTAAAGGAGAGAGCAAACTAGGGTGAGTTGTGCTTGGAGGATATCCTTCTTGGGTAGTTTTATCATCTTATGGGACCTTCTTCATATTTGAGTCACTTACTTGATCCATTGACACAACCCTTTCTCCTGTGGTTCCTATCCTTCATTTTAATAAACCTTTAAGATTTGTTGTCAATAAAGAATGATTTGTATATCATAGCTCTTCCTTAACTCTTATGTTTCCTCTTTTTGTTGATTATCAAAAGGAAAAATTGGACAAGGATGAAAACCTTCTTGGTAGGTTTTATTAGGCAATATCTATATGAGGAACAATCCTAATATACTAAGGCCTCATTTGGTTCACAAGAATAGAGGTATGGAATTAGAATCGGAATAGCCCAACTGTTTGGTTGCGTAGAATCGAAATCCCATTTCCATTCCTACTGGAATGGAATTTTCCCATTTGAGGAAATGGCCATTCCCTACCCCTCCCTTGGGAATGAAATCTCATTCCTGATGATTCCAATTCACATTCCCATTCTTGTTTGAACCAAATAGACTATAGGAATGGACCATTATGATTCTGATTTTGAAGGATTTTGATTCCAATTCCAACCACAAACCAAATAGACCCTAATTATTAGAATGCAAAACTACACATGCAAAAGAAGGTTGTCTTGGTCAAAGGACATGGGAACACAAAGTGAATAACAACAAAAAAAGAAAAAAGAAAGAAAGAACACATGGCATTTCTCTTGACATGTTATTTTTGTAATTGTCACACTTTTGCAACCTCTTGAGAACCTTATAGAGATGTATAGTAATTCACTCCATGGGGAATTACCCTTTTTGTGCAATAATACAATACATAACACTTTCTCTTTTCTCAAAAAGAGATAGACGGATAGATAAATAGATATAGAGAGAGAGAGAGAGGAAGAAGAAAGAAAAAAAAACATAGTTCTGACTTTAAGATTTGAGGATGAAGAAATACAACCGGAAAAAAATGTCAAACATTAATAAGGTCAAAGTACATTTTTGACTACCAAAGTGCATTTTTGATTTCCTTATGTTTTTGTGTTTTATATTTATTTGATTAAAACATGACATAATCATCATCTAAGCCATGCCACAACTATATATGGGGTCAACTATATGAATCCTTTTTTTCTATAAGCAATGCCAAAGAAATGTATATGGGCTCATCTAAGCCATGTCACAACTAGACCTGTTCATGGGCCGGGTAGCCCGATGGCCCGGCCTGGCCCGCACCTCGGTCGGGCTTGGTCCTGTAATTAGGCCCACAGGCCTAACCTCGGGCCTAACACAGTAAGCCTGACTGTGTTTCGGGCCGGGCTCGGGATTTGTCAAAAAAGCCTGGCCCGGCCCAACTCAGCATTATAGATTTTATAAAATATATAATATGTATTTTATATATTATATAAAATATATAAATAATATAATATTTATTGAAATATATATTTATAATTTAATATATACATTTTTTATTCTTTTCTTTATAATTTCTTTATTTCTCTCTCTCTCTCTCTCTCTCTCTCTCTCTCTCTCTATTCAGCCGCTTCAGCAATAGTAACAGTATGGGATAAATTTCGGGCTCGGGCCCAGGCCCGGGCTTCGGGCTTTTTATGAGGGCCGGGCTTGGGCCCAAGTTGTAGGCCCGATGGTCGGGCCGGGCTCGGACTTGGGCCTTAGAAAAATCTGTTAATACATAGTGAAAACTCGGCCCGAGCCCGGCCCGGCCCATGAACAAGTCTAGTCACAACTATTATTCAGGATAAGCATGCCAAATAATTACATACACAAATTGTCAACTCGTTTGTGTAAAGCAAAACTAACTTTTATAAAATCATAATTGTCCAAGTTCCAACATTACATACTAGTGCATCAGGTTATACATCTTTAATTTGCAAATTTTTTATACGACCTAATAATTTATCACAAAATTCAGACATTCTATCAAAGTTATCCTTCTCTAACTAGACAACTACTTCAATATCATCTAGTGGGTCTTTACATGACTTTTTCATGCTTTCTGAAAGCCCTATCCCATCTCCTTTGATGGTTATGCTCCCCATGCTATACTGGACATTTGCTACCATTGGTGTCCATGAAAAGAACCTTCATCCTACAAAAAACAATGTGGATTCAACATTTGAATATTTAACTAAAACAACAAACAAATACATCTTATTTAGGGCTTTGCATAAATCCAAAATCGTCTCTCTTGTGTAGAAGGTCGTTTAGATGTAAAGACCCTACAACCCCAGTTCCACATGGACAACTCATTGTCTCATCCTTCCATAAGAAGAAATTGCATCTTCTATCAAGGGCAAACTACAATAATAACCAAGAATGGGTTAGATAATATGTTATCAAATGCCTAATGCAAAATCACAACACAATGTATAACTTACGCAGTAGTAACAAGCTCTTGACCAACATTCTTAGCTTTCCTGTTCCACGCAACAACAACTACACACCCTTCACCACCACATGGGCAGAAAACCTTCATGCTACCATATTGGGTATAGTTGAGGATTCCCTGAACGCAACTCATTATTATCTAGTGCTCGGGTGCATGGGGAGGTGAGGGGTGTGTACGCGGGGTTGGGCGCTAGGCACTAGGCGTGCTACGCTAGCGGTGGGGGTGAGCATGGGCGTGCAGCTTAGATGTGAGCAAACATTTCGTCGAACATTTGTGAATCACCTTCCTCTTCCTCTTGCTTTCATCCTTTCCAAACCTATTTTTACCTTACACAAATCTCCTTCATCCTTCATATTTTCTCCTCCCTCCTTCCTCTTTATGATGATATTCACAACTTTCAATATTCTTAGTTGTCGATAACCCCAGTTGCACAGAGTTGCCGTCAATATTCATAGCCTTCAATGGTCCATTCACACAATTCATTGATGTGCATGCTAAGGTTTGTCTAAATCTACAGCAAACCTAGCGTTCTTGTTGATGAATACCAATGCCAGAACTAGCATAACAACCTTTGGCCTTCATCTCTTTGTGTGTAAGTCAAAAGGGCATTTCCGACCATCAAAGGGTATTTTGAATCTAATTTAACATTAAATCAAACACGTGAAGTCACATGTAAACAATGTATGACGGAGAGTTAATGGGAATGGAGTCATGTGACAATTGTTAGGAATAATAGGGGTAGAGTTAGTCAATTTCCTAAACCTTAGGGGTAGTTTAAGAAATTTGCACATTGAGTTATCCTAGGGATAAAAAAGGAATTAATGGTTTCTAGATTCCAGCTTCTATCCCTTACTTTTATGAGATCCACTACTCTAAAAGGGCTACCCAGCCCTAGTTTTGGGCCCATGGGTTTGAAACTCTTGATGTTAGGAATCTAGGGGGTCATCCCAAATGTTAAATAGGTTTTCACTATTAACTAACCATCTAACTCATTGTAGAATAACTTTTATTCCACCAAAAACACTTTTCCATCCCCAATATCCTATGGTAGGCAAGGGATCCTTAAGGAAAACTCTTGTTTTTGATATATTTTTCCTTAACAACTTAGACTCATAGATTTTCGGGTTCTTTACAACTTTTCAAGCTAATTTTGATAACAGACCTAAATTGAAAGAGTGAGGATCCCTGAAGCCTATGCCACCTTTAGCTTTGCTTCTACAAGTCTTATCCAACTTACCTAATTGATTTTATGATCTCACTTACTACCTTCCCACCAAAAAATATCTATGTTTCTTGGTTAGGTTCTCGCATAGAGATTTTGGTAACAAGAAACAGGACATAGTATAAGTAGGAATGGAGGTAACCCTAAATATTTGTTGGGGGATTGAACCAACTTGAAACCCAAACTTTTTGCTATAACTTTTTTTTTTTTTTTTTTTAAATTTATGGTGCATGTTATTATTGAAGAAAAATTCAGATTTATTGATATTTACTTTTTGCCTATAAACCCTCTCATAGTCCTTTAGAGCATTTAGGATATCCTCTCCAACCTAGATTCATAGTTATCATCTACCAAGAACAGGTAGAAATGATTGGATTACCATGACAGATTTTGATTCTAATACCATAGTTAGCTTGGGTAAAGTGGTTTAATCTCTCCAAAAGAACATCAACTTAAATAAGGAAAAAATAAGGTGGAAGGGAATCTCCTTATTTAAGACCTTTACAAAGGAGTATTCTCTTACTAGGGAACCATCCACCAACACTATAAGTGAGAGTGGCTACACTTTGCATTGTCCACTATCTATTTATTTCCATAACCCATTTTTTACAAGGGCATGTTAGAGAAAATAAGAGGTTATTTTAAGGCATTTTCAAAGCGGTAGGGGTAGAGGTAGAATTAGTCAATTCTGTAAAACTGAGGGGTAGTTCGATCATTTTACCCCTCAACTAAACCCTACACCTCTGCCCATAGCCATATGGTCTGGGCGTAAAAAAACTTCTGTTGCTTCTGTGTGCTCGTATGCTTTCAACGTTGGAAGGCAATTCGATATCTGCTCTAATTGCTTTCCAGCCTCGCCAGGTTGCGCTTGCAAGGCAAAACATGAAGAACAAGGCCACTTCCGAAATCCTAGAAAATGATTCCACAGAGAAAACCCTAACCCTGAAAACGGAGCAGAAGAAGAAGAAAAAACAGAAGAGCATGGATTCATCTCAGAGGGCTCTTCTTCTTCACTCCATATCTGCTTATCTCGACCGTAATGGGTTCTCGAAAACACTCAAGGCATTTCGATCCGAAGCCCTCAGAGAGGTAAGTGCGTTCGTTGGGATTGTGCATGACTCTGTTTTTCGGGTGGTTTAGCACTCAATCTCGTAAATATTTATGGCTTCTAAATAATCGAGAAATCTATGTTTACATGCTTCAAACGCTGTGGAACGATGATCGGGATTATCGGAACAATGCCTCTGTTCTTATTGCCTATCTTTTCCATAGAGGGGAGGGTTGAAGCCTTTTACACCCCAAATATGTTATTCTGCTTTGGGCTTTTGGGTTGGGTAGTTGGCTATGATAGAGCTAATGGACGAAAAGCTGTAACGCCTGAACGCTCATCTGTATGCTGTTTGGTTGGAAAATGCATAGCTTTAGCTTCTGAACAATGATAAGTAATCTGTTTCTTGTTTCTTGAAACCCAACAATATTAACGAGATTGAGTACTTATTTGCAGTGGAAAGTATACTGGAGTTGTCTAGTATAATATGGGTTTGCACTAGAAATTTTACAACCAGACACCTTTCTGCAGTGGCAGTCTGGTAACAGCTGAAATGGCTGAACTGAATGAGTTATTGCTTTGTCTTTCGGTGAATAAATTATTCAGGAGGTTGCAAGCTTCTCAATGGATGCATGATGAATCTGAAGTAGGGTTGATTACCATACCCTTGAATGTTTTACTACTTAAAACTCTGACGTAATTAACACTAATGATGACAGGAGGAAACAAATAAAAGGAGAGATTGGCTAATACTTGTGGTGTCTGATACGGAATAAAAACACTTTTGACACTGAATGTGAGTAAAAGGAGAGAAAACTTGATTTATATTATCATAGGTTCTTTTCCAAAAGTTGTTATGTATGATGATATGATTTAATACCACCAAGGAAATGTAAACGTATAGTAGCATGGTATGAGTTTCAAAATTTTAACATACTAATGCTATTTCCAGAGAAACATATAAGCAAGTATTCTAAAGTCTCTCCATGGTTAATTTGCCACCATATTATTTGTTTTTAATGTGTGCACTGTGCAGTGCCTAGAATTGATATCTTGGCTTAGAATCTTCTACTTCCTTTTGTATTTTTCTTCAACTTTTATCATACTGTAGAAGTTGGATGAAAATTTCTTATGTGTGCACTTGTTCTTATGCATGGGTGCAGTTTGATGATTGGAAAGGACACTCATTGGACTTGGAGGATATGTATTACAAGTATTTGGATGCAAGGTAGTTTGAGATGTATCTCTTTCCTTTGGCTCCATTGGATAAAAAATTGAAGTACATTGTTAAGGAATAATGCGTACTTGGAACCCTTAAAATATACTGACCAAATACTATGATTCAAATGTTAGAGATGAAAACGTGCTTTGAGTAAAAAAAAACTGTAGAGAATATTACCATGCTTTGGCTAATGGCTTTGAGCTCTTGTTCGCTTATAATTGATTGCTTAATATCCATAATTCTAAGAATGCCCATCTTCCCAGCATAACACCCTCTCTCTCTCATTTATTTTCTTTGATTTTTTTATAAGATAACAAGAAAATCCATTAAATTAAATGATTGGTGAAATACAATTTGGACCAAAGAGTACTCATGACAAAAGGGACCAAGGAGAAGATGAACATAAGCCGCATGACAAGGCTTAAGCTGCAACTTATGTTAGTTCTATGCATACCTGTTTTGTAAGAGTCCTAGTGCTAGCTAATGAATGAGGAGAAGAAGAGGATGTGATGGTTGAAAGGAATTGCTTGATGGGTCAACTTGTATGGGGGAGACACCATGGATTTTCTCCACATTCCCACTTGTGATGCTCAACACATTGTTGTTTCAGAGTCTTTTTCAATACTGATAGACTGAGAAAAGCAGATTTTTTGGCCTTGAGACCATTATGAAGAGTAGTGGCTTCCTCCCATTAGAACTGCCCTCCAATTGAACCTAGAAAAAGCACACATCAACTTCTGATCATTGTCTTTGACTGCTTTCAAACTTTAATTTTCTGAAGACTCCTAGTTGTCAAAAGGGCAATTATTGATATTGAGACTCATAATTTGGAAGCATTAGGGTTTGAAAACATGAATTTTTATTGTAAATAGAGATTACCCATTTTTTTTGATAAGCTAAATAGAGAATAGAGAATACCCATTGGACATAGATCTTTCTTTTTCCCATGCACGGTTTAAATATGCCGTCTTTATATCAAGAGAATAATCTCTTAATCTTTCATATTATTAGTCTAATATGAGGACAGGATAGAAGAAGACTTAATGCGTGGTAAAGAAACTTCTTAATGATGTGTTGTTGACTGTAAAATAGGATTACTGGATTGATGCCTAAAATTGATGACTTGAGTTTATGGCATATGTTTCCACTTCAAAACACCTTGCCCCTCCTTTTGAGTCTCATCAAAATTGAGCTTTTATGTGCAATGCAACGGAAGCTATGGGATCAGTCTTATAGAGATCTTTTGGTGTGACATATGGTATCAATCTACATGGATAGATATAAATAAACTACTACTTGGGAGTCTTGGGACCCATGCAATGCACCCAACTTTGTTAAATGAAATTGATGACTAAGGATCCCTATGACATTTCAGAGCCTTTCATGTTCAAACAACAAATACTTATTTCAAGGGAGACCCTAATTAATAATTTATAGCCTTCTCAACATTAAAAATTAATTAGGCTTAGACATTAGACCTGAATAACCATGTTTTCCCCATCAATAGATGGTAGAGGTAAGCATGCATAGAGGTATTCACTCCTAAAGCTTAAATGAACTCGGCCAGTAAACTAATGATTCATCTGGTTGAACCATCAAACCATTTGACCTGGTTGATTGTTAATAGGTTAGATGTTAAATCCCATTTTTTGTTTCCTGTGTTCTTAGCCATTTCCACCACTTAACAAAATCCCTATTTATCATACTTATTTTTATTTAATATAATGAATATATAATACCTTAGGGCCTGCTCGTTTGCTCTGAAGTCTGACATCTGAAAGTGCAATAATTACATTAAGAGGTATATTGGTATTAGTGAACTTTTCTTTCCTCTCAACTCTGAATGTAGAGAATGTTGTTCTGAATTCTGAAAATTATCAAATATCCATTTTAACCCCATATATGAGATTTGGGGGTATCATTCTTTTTTTGATAAATAACATCAATTCTATTAAAATAATGAATAGATACAAGAAAATCCCCTTAGAGGCGCGAGGTGCAGCCTCTCCAAACAGAAAATACACAAACTACAACAGAGAAAACATGAATGTTGAAATTAAAACAATAGTTACAGTTGTGCCCAGAACAATGTTTCCCTATTTACCCCTTGTTTTGCCAAGACATCAGTAAAAGCATTAGCTGATCTCCCAACCCATTGTACTGTTATAGACATATTGGAAAACAAAAAGTTGTATGATTGCACTTTAAGAGATAAAGATAAGAAGAAACGAACAACCATTTTTTTCTTAAGGTTAAAAGATTCCTCTTAAGAGATAAGTTCAAGCCCTTAGACTTGGTAATAATAAAAAACTATAGACATGGTTAATTTTGTTTAAGGGCAGTTCGTTTGCTCTGAAGTCTGACATCTGAAAGTGCAATAATTACATTAAGAGGTATATAGGTATTGGTGTACTTTTCTTTCCTTTGAACTCTGAATGCAGAGAATGTTGTTCTGAATTTTGAAAATTATTAAATATCCATTTTGACCCCATATATGAGAGTTTTTCTTTGTCTTTTTGGGGGTATCATTGAAAAACAAAAGTTAAAAGGAACAACCATTTTTCTCTTAAAGTTAAAAGATTCCTCTTAAGAGATAAGAGTTAAGAGGAAACGAATAGACCTTAAGTTTTTGTATGTATCTATGCTATATATGCATATGCTTGCTTTGGTTATTCATAAAAATATACATGCATTGGTTTCTGTGCAGGCCATAAAAAGTTGAATCATAGTATATTACTAGCATCATATCGTACAAGGTTGATGCTTAAAAACAACAGTTTAAATATTTTAATATTCAAATCTAATCAATGAGTCGAGTCATTTAAAGTCTGAATGCCTTTTCATCTTTTTTGTTTTTATCCTGTTATCTTTACTTGCACACATGCATCACATGCATGGCATGTGCCCTTGCACTTGTGTATATCATGTCAATGTGTATGTAAATTAGATATAATACATAATTATATAAATTTTATAATTAATACATTCGATGTGCCCTTGCACTAGTGTATATCATGTAAATATGTATGCAAATTAGATAATATACATTCATATTTAAAACTAGTTAAATTTTTGTAGAACTTTTTTAAAAGTTCTTAATTTTAAACTCAGTAAAGCGCATTCAAATTAAATCTGAACCTGTTCCAAGTCTGATATGTCAGATTTTGGATTGATTGGGATGTGGATTTTCAATAATCAGGTCAGATTTAGATGTGGTTGGATTTGATCTGACTTTTACTCTTATAGCCCTAAAGGCATGGCCAATTTTTCTGTATTTTTTTTCTATTTTTGCATGTTATGCTTTATAATGTTACGGTTCCAAACGGTTAAACTGTTGATCACTATAAGCCAAGATGGGTGAATTGCTAAAGTTGACCCTGTATGATAGTTTATACATTTTTATAGACATCCAAGAATCCTTTCATATATTATTAGATTAACATTTAAAATTAAATTTGGATGGATTAATAATAATGTAGAATTTTTTGGTAGGAATAAGCAAGCCAAATTAACTGATTTAGTCTTTTGATATTCTTAGACTTGTAATCTTACTCTCCGGATCTGCTATCCACAAATTGTTCCCACATCCCTACCCACATAGCACCACCACCATGTATTGGGAACATCTCCCCATGAATGACAAGGGAGATATTCCCAATGCACAGCTGTAATGTCTTGTGGGTAGAGTTGTAAGTAGTGGGTAGAGTTGTGAGTAGCAGATCTGAGCTCCTAATCTTATATTAATATTTGTATTTTGTTTTTATATTTAATAAAATTTCTAATATAATGAATAGAGCATTGAATTAATATTAAATTAAATGAAGAGATAATCAATAGACATTTCAATTAATGACATCTGGATTCCTACAGTAATCTCTTGCAATCAATGACAATTGAGTTGCTAATGCCTTTTGGTTATTTTATCTTTTAAAAATTCAAAAAAATATATGTATATAAGGGTGCACTTGGTTCGTATTTGGTTCAGAATTTGTTAACCCTAACCTGAGCCCGATGTTGCAGCCCTTCATTCATCATTGAATAGGTGTCTGAGCACTCTGCATGTGTAGCACCTGTGTGGCAATATTTTTCAAATGTGTGGGTATTCTGAGTCACTGAGTCATCTTTTCCCTAAATTGGATCCATACCTTCTTCATTGCTTTCTATTTATGGCAGTTATCTGTTATCCATCCAAATTCAAATCACTCGAACGGTTAAACTTCTGTTCTTATTCTAATTCTTCTTGAGTTTTGTGGCAATGCAGCAATAGTAAAGTGGAGGGAGATATCAATGACTCCAAAGGGCAAGGTAACCTCCCCTCCACGTGCCAAAAATTGCATTGTAAACTGTTGTGTTAAACTGTGAAATGTTGTTTAGGCTTTAAGAGAATGACGCAGGAATCCTTCATCTGGCAACACTTTCCTTTTCCCACTTTATTCAATGGTCAAATTTCAGCTGAGAACCCCTACCCACCTGGCCAAAATAAGCTCTTCTTTAATCTTTTTTTAATTAAAATGTTTAAAATTTGAATTACTTGTCTTGCCTGATGAAGACTCCAATTCAAGGTGAGATATAGTTGTATAGGGATGATCTGGACCATTGTAAATAACATTCTTTTACTCTGTCAAAAAAAAACAAAGAGATATAGTTTAATAGGACTATAGGCCTGATTTTGACCAAGGGAGTGAACATGTTGCCTATCCCAAAGGTCCTATTTCCACAATACATGGTTGAGATTGTCCACAGGATTGTGCCACATGGAAGAACTACATGGAGTTTTCTAGAAAGTTCTGATTATCATATATGCACAGTCATGCACACTTTTACACACACACAAACACGTGTATAGTATGAAATTTTCTTGCAAAACTCTCAGTCTCAGATGCCCTGATTCCAGATGCACTAAAATTGCAGATTTGCAAAAAGTTGCTTCCAAGAAACCTGAGAGAGTAATTAATGGTGATGATATCTCTCAGGAAATCATGAAGAAAAAGAGAAAAAAAGGTAATCTGAGTGATGATGATACAGCAAATGAACAGCCTGGAGTTGGCAATGGATTTGTGAAACAGATTAGTGACTCTTTTCAGAAGTTAGCAAATGATAAAGTTCCTGAACCAGATATGAAAGCTAAAGACAAGAAAAAGAAAAACAAAGCTCTTCCTGATTCTCATGGTGAAAGTACTCAACAAGGGTTGGATGAACTAGATAAAAAGTCTAAGGAGAAAAAGAAAAAGAGCAAATTGAGCTGTGAATCTCCTGCCAATACCTTGGTAGAAGGCCCATCCGAATCACTTAAAGAGAAATCTAAAGATGTCTCCTTGCAAAAATGTAAGACTGATATTGCTGGAGTTGTATTGGAAGATGAAAGTTGGCAAAACAAAGATAAGAAGAAAAAGAAAAATAAGCTGGTTTCTGATTCTCTTGTGAACAATGCTGAAGAGGGTGGCTCTGAGGATGTTGAAGAGCTGAGTAAAAGGAAATCTAAGGATAAAATTGGTTCACAAGTAACCAAGCGAGATACAGAGAATACCTTGTGTGAAGTTCTATTGGTTGAGAATAATGCTAAAACCAAAGAGAAGAAAAAGAAGGCAGGTAAGTCAGTTTCTGAAACCTTGTGTGGTGGGGATACAAAAGAATTTGGTCAAGGAGATCTAAAAGGCATTGATTCCATGAAGGAAGATGTTCATACCTTGGGGGAGAGTGCAGTTGATGTAGAAAAAAAGAATTCCAAGAAAAGAAAAAGGTTGGTTTCTGAAGAAAGTGAATCTCAGGCTGAAGCAAAAGGAAGTAATAAAGATTTAAAGGAGGGGAAGACACGGGGTTCAGCCAAGGACAAAGGAACAGAGCAACATGTAGAGGTAAATATGTTAGCGGAGGCTGATGGACATGCTGGTAAGAAAAGGAAAACAGAAAATGGTCATGTTGATTCCAATAAGTCTCAGGAGATATCTTCTAATAATCAGCTTTATCCACATGCCAATGGAAACCCAGAGAAGGATGAAAAAGGATCTGCCATGCAGAAAAACATGAAGAAGCAGTGCAATGGGTCGGCAGAGGTATGCAATGTCTTGTATTTTTTATCTTCCATTTTCCTTTTTTAACACATTATCGAATTTTACGTAATGTATGTGACGTGCATGAGAATTTTTCTTCCTTCCAGTATCATATGTGTAGGATACATAAAAGTTATTTAGCTCCATCAATTGGTTTAATCTTCAAGTCTTCTTGCACTGCCAAAAAATGAGTTTGTTGGATGGTTAAATATTATCTTTTTGTGTACCTTTTGACTTTGAGTTGGAACATGGCCATTGGTAATCTACTAGAACCCTTGTCTGAATTTATTTTTGATTGATAACCCTTGTCTGCATCTAGTCATGCCTCTGCCCAAAAATATTCTCTTTCATCCAACAAAGCACATCTACTGATTTTACCAGTGGTTTCCTTGATGTGCTCTTTCAACCCTTGTCCAACCTGATGTGCTAAAAATTCAATTCTAACCCTAACCCAACCTGACCTTCCACCTGGGTATCTCAACCCTAACCCAGCTTGACCATGAGAATGGATTGGTTAGGTTGGGTTTGTGATGGAACCCTAGTACCCTACCTACCAAATTTACAGCCACGTGCATACATAGATATCATGCTCATGCAAACACATTATTTTTTTGCGATGTTATATATACATCATACTATTAGTTATTGTTGAAGGTAAAATAAAAGTTTTATTAAAATAAAAATAGAATATTACAAGAAAGGTGACAAGAAGTCACCTGAGAGAAGAAAAGAAACAAACTTCACCCAGCCAAACCTACAAACCCTCCTCAACTTGAGCTCAAGCAATACCCTCAAAAATAAAAACTCCCAAGTCCAGAGACAAAACTACTACCAGCTGATCAAACCCAGACCAGCAATGGATCAAACACCCACAACCACAACAACCCTAAATCCAAACGTCCTCTAAACACATGAAAACACACACTCCAGACCCCCAACCGAAACAAGCAGCCACAACTCCCACAGACGATTGTAGGACTCCAGCTTAACAATGCTCAAAACTACTTAACTAAAATGCACAGCTTCTTCAGATACAAGAGTAGAAACCCTATTGCTTCTCTTAAAAACATTATTTTTCTTTGGTTTCTTCACCTTTTATTAGGCTCAACTGCAAACAATCCTCCTTTTAACCTTGCAAAAAGTTTTGAAACCTGAATAGCTCTGTCTTTTTAACGACTTCTAAAGCGTCTTACAGCATTAGGAAACTTCCTACAATCCTTCAAGTCAATAGATTCATAATTAATCCTTTACCTCAAAATTAAAATCCTCCACTTCATGATTTAAGAGTCAAAGCTAGAAAAAGTGGGCATGGTTCTTATCTTGGAGCTATGGGGGTCTTCAATTTTGGGTGGGCAGTGGGCTGAGTGTGAGGCTGAGGGGTTGTGAAGGGGTTTGGTGGTGATTTGGGATGCTAAAGTTTGAGCTAAGGTGTGCTTTTTCAGGGGATCTCATTCAGTGTCAGTGGTTCTGGATCATCTAGGTTTGCATTGCAAGGTGTTGGTGTCAAATGTGTACAGGCCAACAGGGGAGGGTAGTAAGGAGGAGCTGGAGGGAGCTTTTAATTGGGGGGGGCTTTGCCTTGGTTGCTGGGGGGATTTTAACTCTTATTTGTACTCGAGTGAAAGAAAAGGGGGCAGGGACAACAGGGTAACTTGGGCTATGAGGAGTTTTAGGGAGTTTGTAAGAAGGAATGGTTTGATTGATTGCATTAGTTTGGGGCTTGTTTTCACTTTGTTGAATGGACAGGAGCCACCAATTCTAACCGTGTGAAGGTACTGACTTCCCTTGGGCCTTGATCTGGAATTCTCATGCCCCATCCAAGGTTTCCTTTCTTGTTTGGACTGCAGTTTTGGGTAGATGTCTTACCACTGATTGGCTGCTCCTATTAAACATCCTATGCCCCTTGTGCAATGAAGTTCCTGAATCCTTCAACTATCTTTTCATTCATTGCAGCTTCTCTTCCCAGCTGTGGGATTTGGCTTTTTCCTGCTTTGGTGTCCAATCTTGCTTACCTGAATCAGCTCTTCAGCTCCTGCAAGGATGGCCTCTCAAGGGCCTGAACATAGGGGCAAACCGCTTTGGAGGATTTTCCCATCTGCCATCCTTTGGGCCCTCTGGAAAGAAAGGATCAGCTGAATCTTTGACAACTCTTTTTCTGATGTAGTTTCAGTAAAAAAACAAGGTTATAGGCTTTTTGTGTTCTTGGCTAAGTGTACAAGGGCATTCAGAGGTGTCCAGCTTTTCTCTTTTTTGCAAGCTGTACCTTTCTTTTGTTGACACTTTTATATATTTCCATTATACAGGCTCTCATTGTACATGGGCTGATGCTTTTTACTTTATACAATTCAATACCTTACCTGTTTCAAAAATAAAAAAGAATCCAACGTGGCTTGATAGATTCCTTTCTAATGGGGTTTGGGAGGAAATTTTTTCCAAATTTGGTTTAGGAAATTCTCACTTCAGCCCTGTCAGATCATAAACCTATCCTCTTGAGAAAGTTCATCAAAGCTGATGGGCCGAAGCCTTTTAGATTTGAAAACATGTGGCTAAACACCTACTTTTTTTTTGGCTTTTGTTGAAGAGAAGTGGAGAAATTATCACTTTGAAGGAAGGACAGGTTTTACCCTAAAGAAGAAGCTAATGTCTCTAAGGAAGGACCTAAAAAGTATGGAATAGGGAGGTTTCTGCTGGGCAAATTCCAACTCAAAAAGTAGATCTTCTTAGAAAAATGGCAGAATTGGACAGGCTAAAGGAAATGCATGCTCTTTCAAGGGAAGGTAAGAGGGAGAAGGAAATTTTGAGAGGGGAATTATTGGAGGTGATTCATATGGAGGAAGTTATGTGGCAGCAAGAATCAAGGGCCTTATGGCTTAAGGAGGGAGATAAGAAACATCTTTCTTTCATGCTTTGACTAGAGGTAGGAGAAGAAGAGACTTATTTTTTATTTATTTTTTTATTTTTTGAGAAAAAAGAAGAGACTTAATTTTTAGGCTGGAGTAGGAAAACAGAGTCATTGAAGATCCAAAAGAAGTGGTGGATGGAATAAGGTATTTCTACATTAATTTGTATAAGGCAGCTCCAAACAAAAAGATATTCTTGGGAGATTTAAAGCTGGGAAGAATTGGGAAGGGCTTGAGGGATTGTCTGGAGAAAGGATTTGATGAGGCAAAAGTGTGGGAAGTATAAGTAAGTTGAAGGGGGATAAGGCCCCAGGCCTAGAGGGTGTTGAGTGGGCCACCGATTTGTGTTGTTGAGTGGGCCGATCTATGTTTAGTTTATTTTCCTTTAAATTAAGAAGTTGTTGGGCCTTGGGCCCATTAGTTTTCTTTTTAAAGGGGTTGTAATTATTTAGTTTGAGTTGCCGCCCTAGTAAGGGCATCTTTGTAATATCTCATACTAAAGTTAAATATAAATAGAATGAGGGGCTGGCGGCTAGGGTTATCTATCACAATCCTA